CAGGTCATCAGTAACAGCCAAGCTTCTCGAAGTAGGTCTCGTCTATTACATCGTTACAAGTCGCATCCGACCGTGAAGTATGTAGCCATTTGGATAATCTTTCACATTGAATCTGAATTGTTTTTAATTTTAATTTCAATTACTGAGTTTTGAATAGGTTTATTATTATTGCATTGAAGCGATAGGTCATTTATATTATAAATAAAGCGTAAGACATACATATTTCGAGAATTCGTAATAACATTTAAATACAGATCTTCATTGAATGGTCACGTTTCTGATTTAATAATTTAATGCTGAAAACATCTCGTTATCAGACAAAAAAAAAGTTATTGTAAATATTTTAATGTGCGATTACTGTTAAACGAAACATAGGTTACATCTTTGGTAAATACTTATATAAGAAAAAAGGATAATAAATGATTATTATTAGATTATAATGATAAATTTTTATATTCATGAAGCGACTTAATAAATTTCAAACAGACACATCATCATCATTTACATTAGAAGGTTCCACATTTCTCGTGACACAGCAAGATTGGGTATTACAGTTATTTTACATAATTTGTATTATACGAAACAAAGTATTCAAAAAAAAAATATGTGTCGAAAAATAAATAAAATTCCTGACAGGAGCTTAAAGGGTTTCTGATGTGTGCACTTTTCACGTAGTTAAAAGGTAAGTAATACCGAGTATGGCTTCCGATAATTTATAGCCCGTTAATAAACAAGAAAGTCCAATGTATGAGTGTCATTCGATATAAGTAAAATATGTTTTGAGTGTTCCGTGGTGGCTTGCGACGCGGGGTCAACGGCTCGGCCACTCCACATTCGTTCGTTACGAATTGATCACGAACGATGTTCATAAAATTACTGATAGAACCTTAATATTTAAATCTATTTTTTCTGGTCTAGCCGTATCTATAATTCCTTTATTCTTAGTCATCGAGATAAGCCCACTCCTAGAATGATAGTTTCGAACTCCAAATTAATTATAATTGACAATTGAATAATTGCCTTTAATTTGGAAATAATTTTGTCACGAGTTTGTATATAATTTGAAATATTATGGATATAACATTTTGGAACCCTGACTCACTAAAGCCATATATTTCATAACACGAATTTAATAAATAATTATAAAAAGTGATTTATAGAATGTATAATACACTAAGACACGCGTAAGAGACCAAGAATGATTCTTCAAGTGCCGGTGCTTGATATTCCAATTCTTCCTAATGAGTACCGATGTGATTTTATATGAAAAAATCACTTAAGGCCCAGGATTGTAGCTTGTTAACATAATTCGTCCATATTATTGTAGCTAAAAAACATTAATTTGACATTGTAACAAAAACTACTGCACCTGCATCATGTGTAGACCGTAATTTGGTTTAAATATATTTTTAAAATAAATCAATGTACCACTTTTATATGACATGTAATATATTTGATAGTAGTTAATAAAAGTAAATTTTTACGAACTATTAAATTAGGCTTGCGATCCCGATGGCAGTAACGTTGCAAGGTATGTACATACATATATTTATTACTGAATCCTCGGTGCTTTCTATCCTTTGAAACCACTGATTAAGAAGCTTTCTATTTCTTTGTTCAATTAATTCATTAAAAAAACTTACGCGTTGTGGTAATTGCGAGGCTGACAACATGTTCATTTTGCGGATACGTAACTTTTTTAAATTATCTGTTCTCAATTCAAACAAACATGGCGTCGTCTCTTAGCTGATCGATTTCTTTTTAACAGCCAGCGGCAATGACAAACCAGTTTGACGCGGTTTAATTATATTTATTTTTTATAACAATGTCATTTGGTTACAATGTATCTTCATATAGAGATGGTTGTGTTGAGGATATATATCGAAGGTCCTATAAAGACTAGACCGTTTATAAACATTTCACAACTAGGTTATAAAGATGACCATAGTTCCAGACGTTTGGTGGAGTTATTTATGCAACCGGTTCTCTAAAACCTGTCATATGTTATTGTCGCGGGCGACTAAAGATGCTGTTTATGATTCTTTTTTTTTAATGTTTTGCGAAACACTTTTGTATTATATATAAAGAACGGAAATAGTCAAGGACCATCAACTTTTACATTAAAGTTGACAGTATAAAATTACAACTTTAAAAATATTATCGTTACAGTCCAATATGTTATAAATAGCCATTTTTGTATTGTATTATTTTCCATGTAACTTTTTTAAATAACGCTCACTTATAGACAAAATAGATTTCTTTGTACGGAAGTTATGTTATCCGTGTAATGGATTATATGAATTTATATGAATTTTGAACTGATTTATGGGAATCAAAAAAAAGAGTGTTATGTTATTAAACTGCTTTATGTGAGTATGTTTAAAAAACATACATAGTTAGATGGGTCTTTAACCGACATATTAAAATACGATCTTCCTTTAAATCCATAAATATCTAATATGTTAGAACGATATCGGTTCTAAAAAAATTCTAAGAGTGACCAAAAGTAATAAACAAATAATTGATATTTTTTATCAAATTATAGTATAAAAAAATACATCTTAAGTCAGCAGTATAATTAGAAAGAATTATGTTTTTAAAATTTCTTTAAAAACATTTGTCAATCATTCCTTGTAGTCTCAGTTCAAATTTTACATTTCGCTCAATATATTAAGTTTTTTGTCAATATAAAATATTTTACTACCAGAAAAATCATCATTAGTTACTTATATCCGGTTAAAAAGTTCTAATACGGTGTTAGTAGAATAAAATAAAATCATTGAATATTTTTCAACTGATCTCTAAATGTACGTATAATTTAGTAAGTAATGTTTGAGAAAACAAATTGATTTGTTACAAAAATATACACACAATCGCATTTATGTAATTGTATTTATACTATTTAAAAGGAAAAAAATACTTTTTCTTTGTAAATAATGGTTTTTCCATACTTCAAATATGAATATGCATAATGGTGAAGGATAATAAATAAATCGCATTTCTTTGTTGCCAACCTGAATGGGCCGAGTTTATTGCGAACGTGTAAAAAGACCGCCATCTCGTCATTAAGGCTTTAAGAAGATCGTGTTACTGATAACGAAAAATATTTTATATACATTGTTGTTGTTTATTATAATATTTAAAATATTTAATTGGTAACTGGCATTCGCAGACCTTAAAAAACGTATACTCTCTGCCAAAATAAGCAAGTATTAGTTCAAGAATAATTATTACAGGATGAAGTTAGTAATATATAAGGTGCGCTCCAATAAAAAAATATTCTAAAACTTCATTTGGCCAATGCCAATAGTGCTTTTATCTAATTAGGAGGATATCCGCAAAGGAAACAAAAAAAAACCCCACACAACTCGGTACGAAATTTAATGCGGATGTGACACAGGTGGTACCGACAGATTTTTTTATGTGCCTTACTTAAATGAGTGATACAACAAAGTTAGGAACTAGTTTAATAACTTTTAATAAAATAAACGCTTCCATAAGCATTCAGTAAAAGCTAAAGTACTCTGTAAAAATGCACCCGGTCACTAGTGTGGTTTGATATTAAGGTTGCAAGCAAAAAGTAAAGTTAAATGTTTTCAAGTTAAAGAGTAAAAAAATAAACATCATAGCAATTCGCTTTAATATTATAGTAACTTAATTATCTCACAAAGCAATGGCAAAATAATTCACTAAAAGACCATCTTAAATAATAATAAAAAAAAAAACAAAAAACCGGCTTCGCGTAATCGTTACTTATTATGCGTGAAGAATACAACAAATATTTCTTACAAATACCTTTTGAGATCAGAGTACAGTCTTAAAATCACTAATTCACTGCATTATTTTTATAAACTTTCAAAGAGCCCAAAAGCCCACTTCCGCGCTGACGGTACCGGCGTTAACAAAGGCTTAGGTGTAACTGAAGAGGCTGTTGTAAGACAACTCGCCTCAGGTACAATTTTCACGTCGCTATAACCAGGCCGATTTGAGAAGACAGATGTCTCGCTTTTAATCAAGCTAAGAGAACGCTTTCGCATTTGACAGGTTTAGTGTCAAGAGACATTGTATAACATTGTTTAGAGGAAAGAGATGAAAAGTGAATTTAAAAGTAAATAAAATATTCGTGCGCTAGACAGCTCCTTAAGTATACAATAATTCACCTATAAATTTTCTACAATATTCTTACTTTTTAAGTATGTAAATGCTTTTATCGGATGAGTTTTGTATACTGCTATCGGAGGAGAATGACTATGAAGTTTTGTTAATGAGTTGTAAATCTTGTTTCATACGTATACTTGTACTGAATTGTATTTATACATATCCTAGAAAGATATATGTATGTCTGTGACTATAAAGATACTCGCAGTTTGGACAACCTCTGTGGGATAGATTATGATCCCTATATACATATTATTTTATATGCTTACTTTAATTATTTACATATCAAAATATGTGTGTTTAAATGGTATCACAAAAGCCGAAAGGTTATTTTAATGGAGTTTATGAATATCCAAATTCCTTATATTCATTGCTATGACGTCACCGTTTCGAAATGCTAGCAACGAACGATAGTGCCTTCTCAGTCGCACGCGCAGTTCCCATAGGGGACCGATTCAAGGATAGTGTGTTCTCTTTAGTTCAGTGCTCCCTGCCGCGGAAGCCTTAAGGCGCTGTGAGAATATTAGGTGATCCTACAACCTGTTATTGCACATTAACAACTGTAATTTCATATGTTTTTCAATAGCTCCCATCATATGCAGTCAATTGAAAAAGTATTTTATGTTTTTGTTTGAGAATGTTTTGTTAATAGTTATGAACGTCCGTAACTATCGCTTTTTAATAAAGCCAAAACACTTACATCAAAACGAAGCAACAGTCGTTACTTGACTCGTAATTTATTATGTTATATTTTTTTATTAAGATCAAAAATAAGCTAGTACCATGCGATCGTTCGCATCACGTCTTTGGTCATAAAGGAACAGATATTCTATTTGACTCACCTGATCTTCAACTCGGTAATCAATGATTTCACTTCTGAAACGAAATGAGTACATATTTAAATTATACTGTTACCTTAATGATACTAAAATAATTAAATGGTTTTGTAAAAACTTTTTTTAGGCTTTATATTTTATGTGAAAATAAAATACCTGCAGCGTAGTTTCTTGATAACGGGCATCTGTGCGGTGCTGTCATGGATTCTCACTTGGGTAGGGTCTATCTCCTGACATTCGTCATCGTCAAAAGATACCTGACCGGTTCTACGCGCTAATATGGAATCCATGAATGGGCTGTAAATCTGGCCCGAAGTACCCAATATGTCGTCAATATCCGTATAACGTGATATGTATTTCTCGGAGCCTTTCTGGTACGGTAAATTTGAAAAGCCTCTTCGGAATATCCTACTATTTTCATAAGGACTTGAGCTTCTACAGAGTCGATAATCCTCATTTTCTTTTGGAGTTTCCAATCCTTCTGGGCTCCTCCTTGCACCGAGAGGTTCGTCATCGGGAATGTGCAAAGGGAATGGGGGCATTTGACTAGGCGGTATGTATTCTTGAACTTCGTCAGAATCTGAAGAATCACTATCTTCTTGGGGTGGTGGCGTTGGCAACTTTTCAATGCCTTCGGGAATGTTCTTTTCGCTAGATAACCACCAAGGGCTCTCACCAGATTCAACATGTCGAATTCGTTTTATTGGGAAGTTTTTTTGATCGGAACCAGATTTGCTTAATTTGATACCATTAGGTAGTTCTGATTTATTACCAGTACTAGTTTGATCGCTATTAGACAGCCACCAATCTTTTCTTTCCCCGGAATCTATTTGTCGAATTTTAAAATGGTAAAACTTTTCACTTTTATCACTATCACTAGAAGACTTTCTTGGAGGAGTCAATCTTTCAATTCCCTCTGGAATATTAGCACTGCTATCTAACCACCATGGTTTCTCATCGTCTGGAAAACAATTTGGTTTTAAAGTTCTCTTAAAATTGTTTGCTTCCGAAATTTTGTTTTCAGAGTAACTTTCCTGATTTCGATCTTGTTCCATATTGGTGTTTTCGAAATCTGACTCCAGCCACCTTGAACGCTCACCTGATTCTACATGTCGTATTCCTTTTAATGTGACGAATTCATCTTCATTGGATACAATAATGTTTTTGGTATTATTTTTAGATTTACTATTTTCGTTTTTTATATTTGGAGATTCTTTGAAATCAGCTTCAGAACTCTCTTTGCGAACGCATTCTGAATTATCTTGATGTCTCAATTTAAAAAGATTCGTTACCGGCGCTAAAGCTCGAATCAAAAAGGATTTGGCGTCTTCCGTGCCTTCATTTTTATTTGGTGTCATTTGTTTTAATATTTGGTCAGTCTGTGATGGTGAGTTTTCCCCTTTGGAATTTCTTATTATGTCTTTTATGTTGGACTTTGATGTATTTTCGTCTTCACTAATTGATGATTGAGTGGATAAGGTGACACTTGTTTCTGGACTATTATTCTCCCTACATTTCGAATATTTTAATTTTAACGGACCTTTCTGTAAGTCACTAGATGATTTTGTATGGTTTATATTCTTAGAAACTTTCGACTTTTGAAGTTTTTCGGTACCTTGATCTGAACTTGTAGAACTTGTTGATTTAGTTCTTTTTTTAACAACCTTTTTAGACGATGAATCGGAAGAAGAGTCCGTACTAGATTTTCGGACCTTATTTTTCTTATTTTTATTACTATTTTCTGATTTAGGAGGTTGGGGAGGTAATTGGTGACTATTAGTTATTGTGATTTCTGGAGATATTAACTCTGACGAGGACACAGCTGAAGAACTTCGTGTCTGTTTCAATGTGAGGTTAACGTTTATAATTATTTCAGACGTATCCTCATTCTTGTTTTCATTATTCTTTTCCTCAAATTCTGTTGCATTATTAGAAGTTTGTCCGTCATTAACTCTTTCATGTTCAGTTTGCGAGCTTAATATTTTGTTTTCTACTGGTTCCTTGCTTCTACTTCGACTACTTCTATCATTAGAGTTAGCATTACTTTCTCGTAGATTTGAATACTGCGTTGAGTATCTTCCCGCGTAACCGGTGTAGCTATTAACATTAGGTGAGTAATATGTCCAATTTGTCATACTAGTTCTACTAGTGCTGCCAAATCGACTCGATCTAGTTGGATCATCAAGCCTATCCGATTGCATTTCTTTATCTACCAAGGTGGGTCTTTTCTTTGGACGTGAAATAATTTTTTCTATTGTTTTGGCCATATCCGCCCTTCTCATTCTCACATAAGTAGACGAACCTGGTGGCGTAGGAGACGTATGCCGTGTGATTACTGTAATAGTTTCAATATCTTCATTTGGCTCTATAACTATATCAGATCCATTTAATAGACAATCATTTTTAACAACCTCCTTCTGACTGTCTTCCTCGACCAGAACATTTGACATTGGGGCTTTAAGATTTTCAGTTTTATTCACATCAATCACATTAACAGGCGACACAGAAGGACGTTTTATTGGAGTAGGGCTTCTCAGATAACTCGATGTAGATAAACGATTTCCAATTGCATAACGATTTACATTAACTTCTGGCTTTACTTCCGAACGGGGTGATGGTCTTGTATAAGAGGATGCACGGGGATAGAGCTTGTAATTTGACACACCACTATAGTTCGAGGTCTTATCAGTCTTATTTGGAATGTCTTTGTCACGTTCAACAGGACTACCGTGCCTTTTTTCTTTAAAACTTTTTATGGGTCTTCTATCAGGACTAGAATGACGTGAAGTTCTACTAAGAGTATATTTTGATGTTGCTGAAACCGGACTGACATCTCTGCTTTTATTTGTATTAATTGTAGGTACTGACAGCTTGAGTGAATAATCCTTTTTTTCATATTTGGGAGAAGATTTTTCGGTAGCTGTTTTACTGTAGCTTGCATACCGATTTGCAATTGCTGATATTGGAGTTTCTTCTCGAGCAGATCGATCATTTACTATGGGTATACTTGAAGATTTGTAGGAAGGAGTTGTTGTGTACTTTGCTGTAACAGTACCTGCTCTCTCTGTAGAAGTGCTCGTATTTCTACCTATATCTCGGTTTCTGCCGTATGATGAAGTTTCATACTGAAATAGAGAAATACAAAATTTAATAAGGCAAGTGATTCAACGAGAGATTTTAAATAGTTATTGCCCTATAGCCAAGCATATTTATTTCCTACGACTATAAATTTCCACGTCAAGTACATGCCAGCACGTCATATTCGAGTAATATTTTCAAATCCATAATCTTCATTCAACACTATCTAGCATAAAGTTGTTCCTTTCACCGCTTTATAAATAGCGAGCGGAATGCGCTTGGAGATAACGTACAAGGGGTTTTATTGAGCCCTTCGTTCTTGCAGCAGACTGATTAATAGTGGGCTGAAGAATGGAATTTATTAACAGTGTTATACTACTGTTTATGGGGATTAGAAAAGCTTTCAGGAAAGATCATAGCAAATTATTTTATGTATTAAGTAGTATTACATTTGCATTTCATTTATTATAATAATAATGTATTGCCTATATCATATTTTAATCGCTTAAAATAACTTTATGCTTTATAAACACTATTGTTTTTTGTTTTTTAATTTATATAAAATGGTACGATTATTCAAGCTGCCTCATACTTACATAATTTCTGAATGACATTATTAATGCAATAAAGATCCTTCCATATATCTTGTATAACTCGGTTTGTCCTGCAAAGTAAAAAATAATAAAATGAATGAAGCAATAATTCAACCATTGATCTAGGGATAAACCTAAATAATACCATTAAAACTTAAGTGTACTATTATATTATTTCTTATCATTCGTATTATGTATTTTGGTCGGGAAAGTTCAAAGACCAGTATCCATTTCAACGAAGTTGAGTTGCTATTTTTGTTTAAAAACATATCTGTTTTAATTAAACGGCGTTTCTGACGGTTTTAAAATAGACTCAGTTTCAATGTTTCCGTATTGACCTATATCGATAGACGATGGACGTGAGATGGATGGCCGTAATTAATAGGTTTTAACAGTTCTGGGATACATTTAATTATAAATAATAATTTAAAAAAAATTAAGAACAAAGTTCGACAGTTGATGTTTTATAACCGAAATAAAATTTTCATAATTGAATCTTCTTTTTTCCAATAGAAAATGTAAAAAATATAGCTATACCAAAAATTAATCGACAGCAGTTAGTTCTCAGTTTTTATCAGAATGTATGATAACTAAAAAAATAACATAGATAAATTGGCATCGAATTTTAATTTTTAAGTGATGATATTTATACTCATATCATTAATCCTATTTAGGATACATACACTAAAGTGTAAAGAAATCCCGCGGCATAAACAATTTGATACACGATGTACAATCATCTAAACTGTGAATAGGCTATAAACCACGTGGTATTATACAAAGCGTGTTGGAAAGCTTAAGAAAACAGCCCAGAGGTTACACTTAAGGGCTTCACGGTAAGCCTTATTGAAAAGTTGGAAAGTTTAGTTCTATCGATCATATTTGGGTATATTTGTTAACTGTTGTTTGTTGGAATTACTTGAATTGTAAAATGAGTATGTTATCGTTATAAGCTTTTGCACATTGATATTTGAAATAATATTATCAAGTGATAGTCCTGGAAAAAGACTATATGTGTTACTATTTGTATAAGTAAGTTATTACAAACAAACAACACATCTTTGACGTTTTGCTTATTCGGACTATCTTACGATATTATAACAGTCACTTATAAATTTGCCAGAATATTATAAAATTGAAACAGCTCTTTATCTAGACAGACGCATTCGTATATAAATATGATTGTTTTATTTGAATTTAACGTCAAGGTCGCAACTATAATGAGACGATGCAGTTTGACTACTTCACAGCTGTTGTTGTGAAAAAATGTAACCAGTAAAACTGACGAAGATATGCAGACACCTGCCTGTAACAGAATTGTGGTTACCGACAAGTTAATATAAAGCTACCCAAAAATACGTGTGCAAGACTATTAATATGATAAACCCATATTTCATAAATTTAAAAACACTTAAAATACTTGGTAAATAGATTACTCAAATCTAATATTTATTATTTTACAATCCGCTTTTAAGTTCATAATTCACATTCACAATAGCAGGCGTTAGATTTAATTTTATCGAAAGTACATCACGAAAATAAATGGCCTACTCTGAGCAGTTTAAGTGTCAAAGACTCGGGTTCGGTGCCTGGCTTGTAATGAGGTCGACGCAGCAGACGTAGTCCTGCCAGATATTTTCTTAGAATTCGATAACGCTATCCCTAGTTCTTAGGGACCTTAAACCGATGATAATAGAGATTTATGGTTAAGAGTTGGTTAAGAATATCAGAGTAAGGAGTACAATAGCTTTGTTAAGTATTGGGGAAATTCATAATTGGTCGCACTAAATGATATTAACAAACAAAATGCTTTGTTAATTATTAAATTATTTTTTTATATTCTATGGATATTTTTCCTATATTTTAATATACAAAGAGAAATAAAAGTGGTAAATGATTTTACAATATCTAGTAATAATAACATTGTTTTTTTACGGTATTGGGTTTGAGTGCTTCAGTATGATCAATATAACTTTTTAGTGGCTTTGGAATTTCATTATAAATTTTTAGTGCTACATCGCCGTATCAAATAATCTAACTAACGGTTACACAGGAATATACAGATGCGAATCAACTTACATTTACTAATATACTTGACTGAATCTGATGAGGATTAATTGTTTATTTAACAAATCATAAGACTGATGAATTTATCGTGCAGCGTCCCTGACAGTACTATCAACCCTTCCCTGTAGCTATATTGGTTTTTGCTTCTACTACTATCAAATTAAATATTGATCTAATTCAATTCAAACGACACACATTTGACTTTATATTTAAATGTAAAGGTGTAATGATCACCTATCATCCTAAAGCAGCATCGAGCTAGAAACAGTAATGCCTAAAGTACTTAACTCCATCGAATTAGGAAATGGCATCATCAATTGGTTTTAAAATTAAATCAAAAATCTAACACATAACTAAAAGCGTTTGGTGAAAATATTGTTTGTTACACAAACTAATATTTAAGGGTATCCGATGACCCCGTTGGCACATTTCTTAGTATCCATCTGCCAAGTAGTCGTTTCTGGGTTTGAATCCCGGCTGTTGTCGTTTCGAAAGGTCACTTCGGTTCATTCATATATACTGACTACTAATTGAGATAAGTCATAAAATAGAAGCATAACTTCTGTACTTATTATTAGTATTCACTTTATATATAGTTGAAAAGTAACATCTGAGTTAATTTCAGTTCTTAAAGTAGCTCAAAATAGTTTCCTTTTTTATTTCTACAATAAATTATGAAGAGTTTATGTACTCTAAAGGTTTTGTCAATTTTATCTTCACCTGAAAAAAGGTATAATACAACCAGGATGCGAAAACCTAAAAAGTTGCTTGCACCCTATTCCAGCATGCAACATATAGGTACTTAATGAGAGATCTACCTATTCTAAAAGCGCTCGGAGCTTGACAAAAATGATCGCCGACTGCGTCGCTCAGGAATAATTATTATGATATTTATATATGTGAACAGGTGACACATGTGCGTGTTTGTGCACATAAAAAAATAAATATACTATTGAGTTTCCTTCGAATTATTTACGAAGGATCTTAGTTATAAAGTTGGAAATGAGATACATCTCATAACTTTTGTAGTAGTTGAATATCCTTAACGATATATTTGATACAAACTGGATAGTGATGGACTAAAATTCTACTGAATGGTGGTTGAAAATTGATCCGAAGTAGGTAAAAACAATGTTCCTTAAATAGCCTATTCATTCTTGCTTGAAGGTTAAAGTTATGGGTACCTGGCGTGTGTTTGGTGGTCTGACTGTAAAAACAGAATGAAAGATTTCAATCGTCAAATTCTGGCACTAATTCCTAATAAATATTGAGATTCGGTTATTTTATTTTTTGTGATAAAGGCTGATAAGAATGCTTTATACCCAATTGTGGTCAAAAATAAGACGTATTGTATGTACGTGTTTTTATGGAACCCAAAGCCATTATTTGACATTTGACAGCCAAAAACCTGGTTATAGGTGGTCGCTAATGTGCGATAAATAATACACATATGGTCAACAACTCAATTGTGGTTTTTGCGAAAAACAGAAAACGAGACAATCTGAGCAGATAAAATGCTTTTAAACCTATCAATGAGGACCTTGATCAGATCCTTTCGTCGGATTTTGAAAAGGCTAAAATTTTCCTCCTAAACGTGTGGAATGCAGACCATCTATCCAGATATTGCTACTGTGCTCTTCGGCAGTGCTGCAGTTTTAAGAGTGCCTAGCTACTACGGGAGGCCAGCCGGGCACCCGTCTTCGGACCCGCGGTCCCCTGTTATGACCAATTGACCGACACCGCGAAAATATCGTAATTCCATCTAATCTCAGGTCAATTTTGCAGAACCGTCCACCATACGGCGTCGTCGGACAACATATTGGAGCTCGAAAAATTGATGATCAACATGATATTGTCTGGTTTATGGTATCTATCCCGGCGGCCGATGTTATGGCTTCCCATCGACGAAAATATAACATAATGTAGCCCTGTCCTATCTTTAAAGAATATTTCTTAATTATTGGAAATTTAGGCCGGATACGTAAAGAAAGAGGTCAATATTTCTATAGATTTATATAATACATATAAGTAAAAATTATCTATTGTTTTTTTCACTAGGATTTGGTATCATACTCATACAAAGTATCTTCCTAAAAAAATATTAGATATTCTGTTTTTTATTATTAGAAAATTAGAGAAAATAAATATCAGGAAGTGTATTTTTTTACTTAATGGGATATTTTAATCTCAATGTTCTATACTATAATTATAATTTTGGTTCATTTATACGCCCGTGTGCATGCATTTGTACGGCGGCGTAGGTAAAAATAGCTAAAGCTGCATTCGTTGCAATGGGATATCCTGACAAATGCTTCGTATATATCCGCTATGGTTAATTCATTTCTTAGTTGTACTATCCATTAAATAGCGAAAATTCAGAAGAAATTTATTTATAATTATATATATTTGCATATAACAAAATTTGTAAGCGTTATATGGGCATATGAACTTAATTTATAATTGTTGAAAATGAGACTAGCACATAGTTAAGAAATCAAATAGAATATTCGTCATTTCTCAGGAGTTGTAACTAAGACCTTAGAATGTAAAATATATTGATGGCATCACAAAAGTTGTGAAGTGTATGTATATCTTCAGAACTTCTGTGAGAAATATAACCGGTGTTTCATATGTGTATAATTTATAAATCTGGACACAAAAAAGCTTTTCCTTTCGTCTTTGTGTGTTTTTGTTATTACTTTACATAACTGATCATAAACAAAAGTTAATATTTCGAACAAATACGAGTCACTGATATAGTTTTTTGGTGCAACAGAGTGGCCATGTAAACAAGGAATCATAGTACCTATCTCAGGGATAAATGTGAGGATTTATGACATCGCAATATGAAGAAAACGTATGTAAAGATTTATATAATTACTACTACTATTATGCAACAGTACAGGATTTTACAACTGCGTTTTATCACCCGAACTATTTTAAGGAACAACCAT